CAATGTGAACATTCATATTGACGATATTAGCATCCACATTACCGGTGTGAACATTCACATAACAGAACATTCATATTGTAAATGTGAATATTATTAGGGGTATTTTGATAACTATGTCACCCATACGACTTATTAGAATATAAGAAAATAATATAGATTAAATAGAATATATAAAAAGGGATTTATGAAAAAGTGACATTTTTTTAATTGGATTCCAAACTCACCCTAAATTTTTATTACAAGTTTCATGCTTTGTGTAAAGAAAAATGAACAATTGTGACAACAAAGGTCATATAGAAGGCAATCAAGTTGATTAAATCTGTTTACCTAATCACAATTTTATTTTTTATTTTTTTTTATTTTTGTATTTTTTGAAAGAGAGTTTATTTCACAAAGAAACTTGTGCTCTGTTCTTTCAACTGAAAATATCTTTCAGAGAAAATGACTTTTTTTTTTGTTTTTTTTTTTGTTACCATCTTAAAAATAATAGTGATATTACAAATTGAGAAATTTTATCCTGAATTTTATCCAAATGCATTAATTTATAACTCGAACATTTCTACCATTACAAATATTTTTTTCATGGTTAGAAATTTGGCAATGTGAACATTCATATTTTACAATGTGAACATTCACATTGACGATGTTAACATCCACATTACCGGTGTGAACATTCACATAACGAAACATTTATATTGTAAATATGAATATTATTAGGGGTATTTTAATAACTATGTCCTCCATACGACTTATTAGAATATAAGAAAATAATATAGATTAAATAGAATATATAAAAAGGAATTTATGAAAAAGTGACATTTTTTTAATTGGATTCCAAACTCACCCTAAATTTTTATTACAAGTTTCATGTTTCGTGGAAAGAAAAATGAACAGTCGTGACAACAAAGGTCATATAGAAGGCAATCAAGTTGATTAAATTTCTTTACCTAATCACTATTTTATTTTATTTTTTCGAAAGAGAGTTTTATTTCACGAAGAAACCTGTGCTGCCTTCTTTCAACTGAAAATATCTTTCAAAGAAAATGACTTTTTGTTTTTGTTTTTGTTTTTTTTTTAGTTACCATTTTAAAAATAATAGTAATACTATGAATTGAGAAATTTATCCTGAATTTTATCCAAATGCATCACTCTATGGCTCAATTCATTTGTATTTGAATATTATATTATACCAATTCAATCTCTACTACATAAACACACTACACAGAATAGAAAAATGCTATGAACTCCACTTGTGTACCTTGAATTTACACACTACACAGAAAAGAAAAATGCTATGAACTCCACTTATGTACCTTGAATTTATCCTGAATGAGAGTTGTGTAATTGAAATTAAATTTGTGTAGTGTAGGGTTTATGTGTAGAATAAATTTGAACCACAAGATGATAATTCTAGATAATTTATAGGTACTTAATTTGGAATATAGTATTACTACCTAGAAAAGTTTGGATAGATTCTTTTGGTATAGTAGACTCAGGGCTAGCCTTGTGCTAAGGCCACTAAGGCTTGTGCTTTAGGCTCCAAAATTTAGCCCAAAAATAAGGTCTCCAAATTCATTAGTAGTATATTCAAAATTTGAATAGGCCCAATTTATTTTTGTTGATTTAGGGCTAATCTAAAGGATTCTAAAAAATTTTGTTGAGCCCAATTTAAAAAAAATATATATTTAATCATAAATGTGGTTAGGCCCAACTGACAAAAATTAATTAAAAAATATACAAGTATAGTTGGCTCAAATAATGGAATAAATAATTTTATCCTAATTTTTCTCTCTCATAAACTATCGGATTTTAATGAAATGAACAATTTTATCCTAATTTTTTTACCCTATGTCTTTATAATATGTTAATTGTTGTGTGTTTTGTGTGGAAAATTGATTATAGTCATGTTTTCTTTTCATTTATGTTTGCTTCACACTGCTGATGAAACAAAATTATTATTCCACTTTTCAATTTAACATAATGTGAAATCATTTATGTTTGCTTCACAACTTTGTAATATTTCATTAATTAGATTTGTTGATTAATTAGTTTGTTTTATTGATTTGAACTATACCTTTGGTTGTTTTTTTTATTTTTTATTTTTTGATACTCTGGAATGAATATATTTTGATATCTATTTTGTTATCAATCAGTAATAATGGTGCCAAAGAAGATGATTTTTTATTTTTATTTTTATTTTTATGAACATAGGTTCCCTTTTTCTTGATTTCGTCGTAGACCCCTAAAAAACTCAAGCCACCCTGAGTAGACTTATACTAAAAATAATACGCAAACACGCTACATAGAAAAATTTGGATAAATTCTTCTGAGTAAAAATAATACGGTAATAGTTTGTAGTAATATAGATGGTTTTTGTGGATGTGTGGTGCTGGGTACCGTGTATTGGGAATTAACTCGGCTTAAGTAATGAAAGTAAAAGTAAAATAATCAGAAAACAATAAAAATATAGAATTTATGTGATTCGTAAAATACTTACGTTCATGGGTGAGAGAGAAATAATTCACTAACAATAATTAAAAAAAAAACAATAATAAAATAAATAAACTCTCTAATATTTTTTCCCACTCTCTAATATTGTTCCCATCTTCACACACACAAATTAATACACTTATCACTAAAATTATCCTTTTGGTACACCCGTACCAATCCATAAAAGCTCATTTTTACTCTGGCCAAGAGTAGAGGGAACATATATGAAATTCATCTGATTTTTTATCCAATATGTGATTGTGGGATAAGGAGAAAGAGATTGGAGTGTTGTTTTTGGTATGGCTAGGCGTCAGAATTGTGTTGTGTTGATCATATTTCTTTTGTATTATTTGGGATTTGCATTAGAATATTCAACAATGCTACACACCCCCACTGGGGGTCAACCCCCAGTGATGTGGCGCAGCGCCATTCGCCAGTTTTTTTTTTTTTTTTTTTTCTTTCTGACCAATCACCCACAGCCACGTGGGCTGGGGGTCACTGGGGGTCGCCCCGTACTGGGGTCCCCCGCATTTTCCTAAAATAAATTATATATGCTGTTTTTATAATCCTCACAAAACTGCCCCATTGAACCAACAAATTGAGGTTATTTTTGGAAATTCACCCACTCCCATCTTAAGTGTCTGTCCTTTCTGATTGGTTTGATAATGAGTACTGCTATTAACACCCTATCAATTATTTTAAATTTTTTATTTTTTAACTTTTTTATTACAATAATAACCTCAAGTGAAATTACTAAAAATAACATTAATAATTTTGGAATCCCTCGTCTCACAATTAAACACACATATTCACTACATCTTGAGTTAAGATTTATGAGAGTACCCACCTCTGTCACCACCTATCTATCTTTCCAAAATCCCACATTTAAAACCTACCCACACTTAAAATCTTGAAAATTCTTTGGCGATAATATTTCGTCAGCAAAAGTGGTAACCATTTGATTGCATACATTTCTCCGGCAATAAGTGAATTTTTTTTTGGCAGTCCCAACTCCATGAGACGAGAGGAGTACAACAATAAAAACTTATAAGAGATTCATAACTTTGATGGTGTTTTCAGCTTAGAGAAGATTGCCCTTATAACGACAAGTTTCTTGAAAAATGACAAAAATAATAAATATTGTTCGTTATTTTTTTGAGACTAAACTCTTGAACATATGACTGAAATTCGGAAACACAGATCCGAACATTATTTATTTGTTCGGGAACAGATAACCAAAATAGTGCTAGAACACAGAGAGCATACAAGTACAGTGAGGCCATGGATGAATGATAAAAAAAAACTAACTAAATAAGCATAAAAGTGGATTGTGTTGTGTGTGTGAAAAGAGGTAATAGAAAAAAATCAAACAGATAGACAAATTTCATAATGAAGCAGAGAAAAAACTATTTAATTACCATAAATTTTTTTCTATTGGTTTTGGGAGGTTTCACCACTGTGCGTTTTTTTAAGGTTTTGAAATAGAGGCTTTTTGAGGGGTGGAGGGTGTGCATTTGAATAGGTGAAATATTTTTACAAGGATAATTTTGGTATTATTTAAGGAAAGAAAAGAAAGTTTAAGGCCCCGTTTGTTTGGGATTATAGGAAGGGGATTGAGACTACTAATACCTTGGTATTACTAATACCTTATTTGTTTTGAGATATGACATTGGGACTACTAATACCTTAGTATTACTAATATCCTTGGAAGGGAGATTCATAGTTAGGAGGTGGAGATGGTATTAGAAAAATAGTGAGGGGATTAGAAATTTTTTAAAAAAATATTAATGTTTAATTTTTATATTTTTTTATTTGTTTTATTATTTTATATAAAAATAATTTAACAATTTCTCACTATCAATCCCCTCACTATTAATCTGTGTTTGTTGTTATGCTACCTAGGCAGACTAGTTTTATTTTACTTATTCATTATGAGAAAGCTGTTCGATTAGACCATTATCAAAATTGCACAACCCACTCAAATCTTTCACTGAACTACGAGTCTTGTTTTTCTGTTTTATTCAGAATCTCAGATCCTATGATAACTTGGTCTTTTTTTATTTTGACAAATTGGATTCATTGTATAACTGGGAAAATTAGTGGGGCGTAATGCATTTTCACAAATTTTATGTCATTCCTAGGTAGTTGGCCCTTGATTCTGTGTCATTCCTGTAATTGAATGATGAAATTCTAGAAGTTTCATGTCTTACGAAGCCATAAGATATGTATCTGGTTCAAAATGCAAAGTTTAGTTTGCTTATCCCTCCATGGCTTCTGGTTGGTTCAATTCAAGTGTTCTTTGCATAGTTTTTGTAGTACTTGGACTCTAGGTATTAAAGGCACTGTTATGCACATTCCCCTAGTGTTAGTATTCTTTTTTATATATGAATTGTAGAGACTGTTGCTCACTGCTGCACCTACAAAATTTTGGGATGATGCTCTTCAATCTTTTTGTTCTTTTAACGTTCTAAATTATACATTCTGTTTTTAAGCTTAGATTGACTATTTGCAGTCATGCAATTCTTAGGAATCTTGCTTGTGCATTTCCTGGAGTAGCTGATCACTGGTGAGAATTGTTGCTTCTTTTTTGCAATTAGTTTGCCTATAAGGACCTGTGTTATATCAGTACTTCATATTGTGTTAGATACCAATTTCAGACACGAGACAACATGGCATGGGTGTGGTATATGTACACATACCCTACAGTTTTGTCTGTCAAGACTTAGGGAGCACATTCTTGGTTTCCTCAGATTCCTTACAGTATGTTAACTCAATTTTAAAATGAGGGAAGACACCTACTTCCTCTAGTTAAGCTTGGTGGTGTTCATACCCTTGAATCTGGTTCAAGTTTTTCTAGGAGCTTGGAACTATATTAATTTGCAACTTAGCTAAACAGTAACCTCCTGTAACTTGCCCATTTTTGAAAACTGAAGTTTCCGTATATGATATCCTGTCTCATGAACACTTCAGCTTCCCAGGGTATAGGAGAACCAAACAGGACAAGCTCAACAATTTTGCCATGTTTATATCCTAAAATTTTGAGGTTTGATAAATATGAGATATGATGTTCACTTAACGTACTTTTTTTACAATGTCTATGTCACCTGTGGTATTCATTTCGCATCCCAAAGCTGTTATGTACTTGTGTCTCATATTTGATTCTAATATTTATATTCTGCAGACTGGTTCTTAACAATGTTTTCTGTTCATTCTTAAGGGTATCCATCTGATCTATTCAAAAGGTCAAAGATCGAATCAGTGTTGGATTGGCATCACTCTAATTTACGCCGTGGCGCAGGTATTTTATTCCCAATGTTTTGGTATAGTAATTTTTCACCCTTTTATTTATTTTCTAAGGTCTATGTCATTCTTGATTAATCTTTCCTTTTCACCTACTTATGTTCTAAATACTATTCTTGCACCTGTACTTGGCCTTCAATTGAATCCACGAGCTGCTGCTGAAGGTGAAAAACTATTGTTTGCATCACTTGCAAAGATTGAATCTATTTGGTTGAAGGGGAATGGTCAGTTTTTGCTGGGAAGCTCTCAATAGTTCGAGTGGGGGTATAATTATTCTCTCACATAATTAAAAGTCTTTTATTTTGCCATCTTTAGATTGAAAATCCATAAAAGTTTCATGAAGTTTGAAAAAGCAAGTTTTGCAGTGTATCTTGTTAATATTAATTGACTGACTTTAGCTTTGTGTGTGCTTAAAGCCTTGGAAACCTACCTTTTCCAACAACATACTTATTTTTAAGTTATTATTATTGTATTGCTATTTAGTAATACAACCTTGCTTTGGACTAATTGCTAATAGATATGGAATCTTGATTAGAATAATTATGGTTGGTAAGCCTCTTATTGAACGATAGGTTGTGGATTCGCTTAGTAGTCATCCCACTGTTCGGCCAATGCCACATCAGCAACAATCTCATACATTTTCATCTCAAGAGGTGAGCAATCATTTAATCAAAGCCTTTTTGACAATGCAAGACCTTATTAATTAAAATACTTGTTCTTATTAAATGTAGGCTCACCTTTCAAAGAAAGAGAAGAACAAGAACAAGAACAAGAAGAACTAACAAGGTAAAAGTACCTACATCGCAAGTTTTTAATTTCTGAACTTTCTAAATCTATGAAGACATTTTTTTGGTTCTATTTGCTGCCTATGCTTTCTAACTAGATGGGATTACTTACTCATGCTGAAAATTGACTCTTGGAGATGAAATAATATCGTTATATGCAGAATTGTGAATCTGGAATAAAAATTGATTAATTAGAACTGCTGCTAGAAATGCTTTTGGAATGTTTGTTTCTCTTCTGATGGTGAATCACAGGCAGTATGAACTTGCTGATATTGGCTTGTTTTAAAATGGTAAAAGATTTGCATAGTGCTTATTCTTCCTATTTTGGGACTTTCTTTTTCTCCTTCACTCTGATTTTTCCTCTTTTTTTTTTTATTATTTATTTTTTTAAATTTATTGTACTGATTGCTACTATGAACCTGGTAAACCTTTTATTACTAGATTCATTTTGAATTGTTGTGCTGTCATTTTCTTTCTTCATGTGAGCGTGTGGCAGAAGATTTTGCTATCTGCATTTTGGTTATTATATATAGTCAATTGGATTTGGTGGTTGCTTGGATGATTTTTGTCATCTAGTTCCTAATTATTTTTTTACTGTGAAACGGTCCTCTTGGAAATGATGACCATTCCTTGGCGAGAGATTGTCATGACCATGTTAAAGTGGCAAGAGTATATGACAGTGTGATCTATTCATTGGCAAGAGATTGGCATGAGGATGACTATTCCTTGGCAAGAGATTGTCATGACCATATTATGCCAGTGATTACAGGGTTTTTGGAATTAAAATTGAACTTTTGCATGTATAGAGTCAGTTTTCCATTAAATTTTCAACGAACTACCTTCCAGTGTGATCTAGCATCTTGTGTCTGTATGATTGACTTGGTAAACATTATGTTTACACTGTGCTTGAACCTTGCAGGTGATTGCTTTTAGTGATGAGGAGGGAGTGAGATTTCAATCTACTTTCTTACTAATTGGTTGTAACGCTGCTTGTTCCAAGTAAACTGACTAGTAGACTTTGTTTAGTGGTCTGACAGTGCAAAATGTTCTAAAAGAGAACTCTATAGAAATTTCCGAGGAAAGTTTTTTTGAGCTGAAGTATGATCCAGAGTCTGTTTGGGGTTGTATCGAGGTATTCCGCCCATGTTGAATATCCTGTGGTTATTCAAGCTGCACAACTTTCTCTGTTTGGTTTCAATTTGGGAATGTTTGTTGAAAAAATTTCAAAAAAAATTAAACACTAGTTTGGTTGGGGGAAAAAATTGAAAATGTCTTAAACACTCGTCATTTTCATATGTTTTTCTCTTTTGTACTAACGTTATATTGTAACTTCTAGGCAGTTCATATTAATATTTGGAAGAGTATTGTAATATTTTTCAAATTTGTATTTGCATTCATGTTAACATAGTAAATGCGTGTTTTAGTTGCCTTTGTTACTGATGGTGTGACGTGTGTAGCTACTCTTCTCTTTGTGCTTTGGCATTAATATTCTTAGTAATCTTTTGTAGCTTATTTTTTGTGTTAAATGGGGGAGTGGTGAGGAAGAAAAGAGGGTAACGTTATTTTGTGGCTTTGTATACAAAGCAGTAATTTTTTGATTGAGAATTGTGAATTCAATTTTTGAATATATTATTTTGTGGGTAATGGTAATTTGATATTAAATTGAATGGGAAAGTGAATTAATGTTGCATTTGCTATTTGAATGGGAATTATTATTTTATATTAGTGCTATTCAGTTTTATTATAGATCTTCTTTTAGTTCAATCACATAAAATTAGCACAATTTAAAAAAAAAAAAAAAGATAACATGGCGTTTTTAAAAACACCACTATCATACTAACGGTTGGAATTTTTTAAAATTAATAAAACCTATGATGGCGTTTTAAAAGCGTCACTAAAATCATAGTGTTGTCACAGTACCGTTAGGATAGGACATTTGGCGGCATTTTTAAAAATGCCGCCTATACTAATATAGCTACGTTTTCCAAACGTTATAAAGTTATAGCGACGGCTACATTATCGGCGTTTGGTACTAAATGTCACAAAAAGAATTAGAGACGTTTTTTACACCTATAGCGGCGTTTTTTAAACGTCGCTAAATGTGTATTTTCTAGTAGTGTATATTTTGATAATTTTAATCATTTATATATAGAATCCTATATGTAGATTATTGTAATAACATGATGTCATCATATTTATCGTCAATTGTCTATCTTTTTTATGGGAAATAAAATAAAATTATTGAATTAATTTAATTTTTTTTTATATAAATAATCTATACGGAGGAGCCAAAAAAAAAAAAAATTAAATCAACACAATATGACTCATGATAGACTTCATGTGTCCAGTAGGCACTCTCCAATTCAAATAGTGGTTGGGATAGAATCATCTCCCATGGGTTACACAATTGGAATGCGGGGGCAGGGAGTGATATATAGAAAAAAGAATAATGTTCAAGTCAGGGTGAAGCCTTTAACCTCTTCTCTGCTTCTGTTACACCTATCAAAAGACTTTCTGGTAAAAAATATTTTGGGACCCATATTAATAATTGTCAGCTTTGAATTTTCATCCTAAAAGCAAAAATGTGAAGTCCATTTGTGTAGCATTAATTTCCTGTTACGCTATAGACTAGCCACTTTTTATACATTTAAAAATAGAAAAGACAACCAATATTATAGTTGTGATTCACCTAATGTACTATATTTATATAAATAAATAAATATAATAAATGGGGCAACAACAAAGGTTTTCAAAACCTAATGGAGAAGATTTTCACTTTTCAGAAAATTTAACTTTTTATTTTTTATATATTTTTTGTTTTTACTGAATTTTTATAATATTTTAAGTAATTTTTTTTTTAATTTTTAAATGCATCTAATGTAAATACACTTAAAAAGTGTAATATTTATAAAAAAAAAATCTTAAAAAAAATCACTAAATACCAAAAAATACAAAAATATATGAAAATTCAGTACATTTTTCGTATTCTTGTGTATTTATTAATTTTTTAAAATATTTTTTACAAATATTTTACTTTTTAGATACATCTTGATAAGGTGCATATAAAAAAGTAACAAAAAAAAATTGCTTAAAATTTTAAAAATATTCACTAAAATAAAAAAAATACAAAAAACAGAAACCTTAATTTTTAAAAAATTGAAACCAAACACAATAATTATTACTTTTTAGATCTTCCTAGACCAACTAAAGACAAAATTCAAACACAATTTGAAAAAAAATAAAATTACTAAAGACAAAAAAAATTTAAAAAAATAATTTTTTTAATTGGATTCCAAACTCGCCCTAAATTTTTATAACAAGTTTCATGTTTCGTGTAAAAGAAAAAATAAATTTTACAAGGTGCAAAGAAAAAAAATCCCTCCTTCCACTAGGTGGCGCATTCATTAAAGGGGTGTTTGGAAAGTGACTATGTTAGTTAATTTTTTGACTTTTTAAAGAAAGTATAAAAAAAAATTAAAAAAAATGATATAATTATGTATTTTGACTTTTTTATAATTATTTTAGTCAAAAAATGAACACCCAAATGGTGCCTAAGTGTGCACCTAGCTCGCCTAGGCTTGGAACTTTCTCAAAAATTTTATGGTTTTTTGTTGTTTGTTAAAAGGTTCCGTAAGACTACAAAATAAACCAACATGTCTTAAAAATATATATATATATATATATATATATAATCTAAACACGTATTAAAAAGGGTTATATGTTATTTGGTTTAATGTTTAATATTTTTTGGTGATAAGGACAAGCGTTGCAAAAATTGCTGGCACCGAAAAAGTTGTCAGAAAGTTGTTGGAAAGTCGCCAACTAAGGATGGTGGTGAGGTGAACAGATAGGTGACTAGATATGTGACATTTGAATAGATAGATGAGGAAATTCTCCGATATGTAATGCACACAGTATGCTCTACAGAAAAAATTATACAAGCTTTAATGAATTTACATAAGTGATCTTATAAAAATATGTAAGTTGAATACAAATTCACGTAATCATGTAATTCAAATTTGTATTCAACTTACGTATTTTTGTGAGATATCTATATAAGTTTGTAAAAACTTACGTAATTTTATATAAGGTTGCATATGATATACATTGCACACTGGAACATTAGCAAGATAGATGACATTTATATATACGTAAATTTTAGACAAATAATTATCTTTTTGAACAGATGAATGCAATATAATGTATTTAACTATGCAGAATCTGCCAATGTGATAATTAGCATGTTGAAATGAATAGACTGATTACATTTACATAATGGATTTATCATCTTATTTCCAAATCAGTGCCTTTGATTAATGGACCCCCTAGAATCAGAATTGAACCGGTCCTAAAGCAATCAAAAAAGACCATTCTACATCAACATTGCAAAACTGTTCAAAAAAAAAAAAAAAACTTGCAGAAGAGACTTGATCCATGTTTAACTATTCATCTTATTTATTTATAATTTTATTATTTTACTGATTAATCCTATGATTAATTTATAATTTTGTTATTGAATAGTATTATTTGATCAAAGGGTAATTCAAGGAGTCCAAGGATTCAATCACTTTCAATTTTAAGACAAGGAACCCAATTTTCGTCCATGATGCTAAGTCAATTCCATTGACTATATAAACCCAACAATAATATAATAACATTCAACAACCCATCCTCAAAAAATAAAAAAATAAAAAATTGACAATATGGGCATTTTACAAGAAGGCTTCCCTCAATCACAAAGAAATTTCTAACCAAAACCATGAAACCAGAAAAATGGGTCTTCAATGCAAGATTATTGCCTCTGTTTCTTTTCTTTGGACTTTGCAATTCCACTGACACCATGACTTCAACCCAACCCATCAAAGACGGTGACCTCCTAGTCTCCAATGGTGAGACCTTCGCACTTGGATTTTTTAGTCCGGGAAATGGAACGTCCAATCGTAGGTATGTTGGAATATGGTACTACAAGATCTCCGAACAAACTGTTGTTTGGGTTGCCAATCGAGACAACCCAATCAATGGTATGTTCGGAGCACTGGCTATCGACCAAGATGGAAACCTTGTCATCTACGATGACAATTCCCAAAATATTGTTACTAAAACATTTTGGCAGACAAATGTTTCGGCAAGCAGTTCTAATTCAGCTCGGCTCTTGGATTCAGGTAATTTGGTGTTGTTTCAAGGAGGTGATGATACCAATGGAAGTAGTAGTACTAGCAGTGTTATTGCGTGGCAAAGTTTTGATTATCCTACGCATACTATGCTACCAAACATGAAACTTGGGCTAGATCGGAGGACCGGTTTAAACCGGTTCTTGACATCTTGGAAGTCACACGATGACCCTGGCACTGGGGAGTATTCCTTCCGGAGGGACACCCGTGGGTTGCCCCAGTCATTCGTGCTCAAGGGCTCGGCCCGAATTTGGCGAACCGGGCCATGGATTGGTAACAAATGGAGTGGTACACCAAAGTTAATTAATTACATATTCAATGTCAGTTATATTGACAACAACGAAGAGTTTTCTGTGATGTATAGTCTCATTAATGCCTCAGTCATGTCGATGATGTTCTTGGATGAATTTGGGTATTTACAACGGTATACGTGGCATGAGGACAAGGCTGTCTGGTTCATGTCAGCCCCGAAGGAACCATGTGATTTTTACGGACGATGTGGTCCTTATGGTAATTGTGACCCGAACAATGGGGAAAAGTTTGACTGCACGTGCCTCCCGGGATATGAGCCCAGGTCAGCACGTGACTGTTATTTGGAAGATGGGTCAGCCGGATGCAGGAGGAAACGTGGCGGGACAATTTCCATGTGTAATAATGGTGAAGGGTTCGTTAAGGTTGCACGTGTAAAGGTTCCTGACACCTCGGAGGTGGCACATTCTGATGTCAACCTGAGCAAGGAAGTATGTGAAGACAAGTGTTTGAGAAATTGTTCATGCTCGGCTTACATTAGTGACGGAGGCATTTGCATCACATGGTATGGGAATTTGATGGATACTAGAGTGTTCTCTAATGGCGGATCGGACTTGTACGTACGGGTGGATGCAGTCGAATTAGGTATGTTAAATTATTAGCTCATGCTGAATTTTTAATAGTAAGTTCCATTTTTGTGCCAAGAAAAATGAACAATTGTGACCACAAAAGTCATATACAAGACAATCATAGTTAATTAAATCTCTTCATCTAATCAATTATTTTATTTTATTTTATTTCTTAAAGAGGGTTTTTTTCCACAAACTTACTTAAGTTGGGTTTTTTACACCAAAATTTATGTTGTAGAAGAAAATATGAGCTACAAGCCTACAACAGTGAGTGAGTTGTGTATGGGTTTTTTATTTTTTTTTTTTTTTAAACAGCTCAACAATATACAAAGAAGCCCAGAAGTTTACATGGAAAGGTAGTGGCCATTGTGGTGACATCTATTGTGGTCATGTCGCTTCTGATTATGATCCCCTTGGTGTGTTGGTTGGTGATTAGAAAGAGAAGAAGAGGTAAAAGAAACTGCATTTTCATTCATTTTGCATTTGTTCCTGTTAAGGTGTTTGTTGGTTTGTTAGTGTTTGTTGTTATGCTTCTTAGGCAGGCTTTTGCTTATTTTAAGGTGGTTGTTGGTTTGTAGCTAATGTCTTTGTTGTGTTATGCTTCTTAGGGAGGCTGAGCTTTATTTTATTAGGAAGTGCTAGTTACTTTTTGCTCTCAATTGCAGAACAAAACTTGACAAGCATTAAATTTTGTTGTGCTATGTGATTAACTGAGGCAGGAGACGACATTCAAATCAGTGATGAAGAAAAAGTAGAATTATCCATCTTTGATATGGTCACCATTAGCAAGGCAACTAACAAGTTTTGTGATGCAAATAAAATTGGAGAAGGTGCTTTTGGGCCTGTTTACAAGGTAAGTTTATTCCATTCATACACTAGCTATTTTAGTGGACAAATGAAATCCTTCACAAGGAAAACATACTATAATCTTTCTCATGATGATCAAACTAAATCTTTATATTGTTTATCATAGGGCCTGCTATCAACGGGAAAGGAAATAGCTGTCAAACGGCTCTCGACTATCTTAACGCCCCCTAGCACTTGATTACAGGTATATCCAAGTAGGTGGTGAACCAGAACAGTAAAAGAAAAAGGGAAAAGTTAGGGATCATGAAAAATTTATGATCCTTGGATTACCTTGATTAGTGTGTGGTACTTTATTCTAAGTGTAATTCAAGGGTCACAAAACTTTCATGATTATTTTCTTGAAAGGTTTTTCATGATACCTAGCATTGTTGAAAGAAAAATCAATGGCGTAAGTCATTTTTGAAATAGATATAAATTTTAAAATCTTGTAAATGAATGAAAACCTTAAGCCACTTTATTCAAAGCAGGTGTAGAAAGCACAAGAAGTAAATCACTCACATGGAGGAAGCGCTTAGATATTATTGTTGGGATTGCTCAAGGAGTTCTTTATCTACATCGAGATTCAAGATTGAGAGTTATTCATAGGGATCTCAAAACTAGCAATGTCTTATTGGATTGTGAGATGAATCCTAAAGTTTCAGATTTTGGCCTAGCTAGGGCCTTTGGAGGAGATCAATCATCCGCAAAGACAAGAAGGGTGGTTGGAACTTAGTAAGTGGAATACTCTTTTTCCTTGTACAAGCTTGGCTAAGAGTAGTCACTAGATTTTTTAGTAAATCTCTAAAGCTCGTTTTGCACTAATTTCTAAATTTTTGGTAATGGCATGCAGCGGTTACATGTCACCAGAATATGCAATTGACGGCCGCTTTTCAATTAAATCTGATGTCTTTAGTTTTGGAGTCATGGTCTTAGAAATATTGAGTGGTAAAAGCAATAGGCGGTTCCATCATCCAGACCATTATTTTAACCTTCTTGGACATGTAAGTTCATCTAGTTTGGTTATGTTTTTGTATTTTTAGTTTTTGTTCAAAAACACTCATAAGTTTCATATCATTTTCATTTTGTGAGAAAATAGTATTCGACACAACATTTTGTTGTTCCTTGAAAATCAAGTTGTTTAATTTTTTTTCAAATAGTTTTCAAATTGAAAGAAAAGAAAAACACAATAAAACAAGTCTATTTGGATTGAATCATTTCAGGCGTGGACACTTTGGACTGAAGGAAAGGCATGTGAGCTATTAGATCCACTGGTAGACGGTTCATTTCCAATGTCAGAGGTATTAAGGTGCATACAGATTGGTCTTCTTTGCGTGCAAAAATATCCTGAAGACAGGCCAACTATGTCAACTGTGCTTTTAATGTTGATTTCTGAGACTATATTGTTGTCCCAACCAAAAGAACCTGGTTTTTATATAGAGAGAAAAACTAGTGATGCAAATTATATGTTAGCTCAGAGTAATGAGATGACTATATCACAACTAGAGGCTCGATAAAGCTGTTAGAAAATTTTAGTTGTGAATATATACTACAATCAGTACTACCAATGTAAACAAATCACTACTACAAAACAAATGAATAAAATAGTCAAATAGGAAAATTTGTCAATTGAAAATAAAGTAGAAGATTTGGCTTGTGATTATGTGAACTGTGAAATCATTGCCCTAAAGATGTAATTGTTGTTCACATGGTTGGTGAAACAAAGAAAGAAAAAGAAGTGTCCCTTACAGCTTCTCTATGATTCAACACAAAATCATGAATTCTATCCTTCACAATCTCATAAAATACCGCCCGTCGATGCCTAACGGCACTGAATAACCCTTCAACGCCAAGTATTTTCCTTGTTGGAAAATGACGAGTAAACCAATCCTAAAACAATCAAAAGAACACCATCATGCAAAGAGACTTTAGTCCATGTGCAACTTCTCTATATAAAGTGATTGCAACTGTATTTGATTTTTGGGAATCACCTTTTATAAGGTTTAACAAAAATATAGTTAGTTTGATACTTTATTAGATAATTATAATATTTTTTTTTTTAGTAAAGGTTAAAGTGATTGAAAGTAATGCAAATGATGGGTAGACACTAAGATAAAAGATAAATAATGATAAATACACATATTTTAGTAAAAAAATAGATGATAATATCATTTTTTTTACTTATACAACTAATGAATGAAGAAGAGTGCAATTGTTATGCTAATTAAAAGTTTAAGAGAGACTAGTATAATTATATTAAAAATATAGAGTTAACTGTAATTTTTTTCAAATCTCAGAAAAGGTGAATGTAATTTATCTTAATTTTTATTTATTTATTTATTTATCACAATGGATGTGGTTGCAAATGCATGTTATTTCAAAAACTTCAATGTTGAAAATTGATAATGCAATATGGTCAATGGTGGATGGGTCGGACTCATTTGCACCTTCAATGTCAATGGTGGATGGGTCGGACTCATTTGCACCTTCAACGGGTCTGCTGGTTGTCAAATCCTTGATGTTGGCTTGCACAAAGGTCCAAAGGGAAGTAGTTCCCTCGTGGACACTCCGATGATCCAGGTAGGTTAGGTAGAGAAGCAATGATAGATAGTGGTTGATTTGAGAGAGTAGAAGAAAAAGAAGAGGAAGAATACCATATAACCCCTCAAACGTACCTCGGAAGCTTCCCTATGTCCCTTGCCCATCATTCCTTTGTTCATTCCAAGCTATCTTATTGGCCGAAAGTTTATAACCTAGTCCATCGTTCATGATGATTCTGCATACTCCAGCGTGAAGGGTTTTACTGCATTTAATGCTATGATGGCCTCATTAAATAGCTGATGTGCGGGTGCAATAACTTTGCAAGATATTTGTTTGCTTATGTGGTTAATTCCCTGTCTGACAGATATTTGAATGCTATTGGTCCTAGCCCAGCATTAACTTCTCAAAGCTATTGGGCTTTAATCATGCGACTGCTTGGAAGGATTGGGACAGGGGTGGATTGAGTCTCTGGGCCGTAAGCTGGACCTTAGGCCGTGGGCTAGGCCCTCCTGGGCCATGCCCATAAAAAATATTTGTTAATCTTTTGTATCATCCTCCATGCATGATATCTACTGCCCAAAACATTTAAAAAAGAAGAATAAAGTATTGGTGACTGAAAAATGTTTGGAGCAATTTATTGAGATGCTTATAATTTTTTTTATGTTAAAAATTTGTGCTAAAATATTCCTGCAGTTTTTGTTTATTACTATTACCTATGATGCAAAAATAAAAAAACAATTATCAAAAAAAGTAAGAGAAAATACTTTTAACTTCTAATCTTTTTTAATATTAATTTTATCTTATAATAAGAAGGAAACAGGGTGATAGGGTCTATTTTGGCACCCAACATGATAATCTGAGTTGTTCACTTTTTTAAATATATTGAGTAGATTATATCTGTAAAAAATTAAATTGATTGGATAATATTTTTGAAAATATAAGTTAGAATAATAAGATATTTTAAATTGAGATGAAGAGAGCATAAAGTGTGACATCATTTTGTATGTGAATTCAATATAATTTTTTTTAGTATAATTAATTTTAAAAATAAATATAAACCGATCATATGAATATTAATGCTAGATAATCTTAATTATTTTACATGGATTATTTTTTTATCAAATATTATAAAATCAACAATTTAAATCATTGAAATACACCCACCATTGGCTTATCAACATGACCTCTCTAGTTAGATCCCCAAATTGAGGAGAATTCAATTTCTATTCATCTAAATCTATGTAAAGTGGTTTACTCATTTTTTAATGCAACGTGGAAAAGTATAATTAACTTCCTATGGTGCCTAGGCTACAAAAAAAATAATTAAAAAAATTTGTATTAATTTTAAATACATATTGAGAGGGAGATTTATGATCTGAGATTGGGCCGTGACGTTAGCCGGACAGATTTGGGCCGAGGTATTGGGTTCCAAGATCAGGCCGTGATATTGCTCGGTAATGGCAAAGCCCACGTGGAACCGAGTCATCTGATCTCGGTTCCGCGAAGGCCGGACAGGTGGAGGAACAGCCTAGATGAGGCTCCCCGGCTCACGCGTTGCAAGGTTGTAATGCACGCACCTTAACCCAGTAGAAAGGCCTGTGCTTGGAGCTTGGCCGAGAAGGTCTTTGGCTGACCGGCGTTACCAATCTCCAGCTCAGCTTCGCCGGAATACAGTTGAGCACGGCTAGAATTAAGCCTGGTAGTAGGGAACTACGACATCAACTGCACTTGGGCATGTTCAGTATGGCTGTTAATAGCTGAGATAATGTTGCCCGGCTGCCGTGCTCCCAGCAGAGTGGGCTGGCAGTTGGGCTAGGTGATGCATAGCAAGATTTGTGCTGACAGATAGGATAACAGAGCCACGTGTCGAGAGACCAATGGGAGTAGATTTAGGGCGCAGAAGGGTATATAAGCATGTCTGCGCCCCCCATACGCGAGACAGGAATACTTTGTAAGGAAATTCTTACGCTCATACACTCCTCTCTCTCTCTCTCTATCCTAAGGTATGCGCTAACTTGATCGTCAGAGGGTTTTTCTGGCCACACACCACCGGGTAGCTCACCGTTATTTGCTCGCAGATGACCGGATAGAAGCGGAGCTTGGAAGAAAAGAGTGCGGGCCTGCCTGAATATTTGCTCCCCGTACAATTGGCGCCGTCTGTGGGAAGTTGACAGACAAAACCTTGTCTTCCAGGCTCATCTGATCGCCGTTCATGGCAAACAACGATGAGATTCCGTTGTCTGCCATCGACGGAGCCACCCCGGAGTTTATCTGAAGGAGAGAGGGACATCCCGCCATCCTTCCAATGGCGGGTTTGGAGACATTCCCCGGAGGGCAGTCGGGGGAAGCGCGGGATAAGCGCGGGAGAAGTTATGGTCATTCGCGGTGTCCAGACAGTCATTGGCGACGAAGAGAGTCACACGCCAGACGTCTGGAGCACAAGTTGAGGGACCAAGACGTCGTCATCCGGCGAATGGCGGCGGAGATGGAAGAGCTCAAGCGGCATGTTAAAGGGAAGGGTGTAGCTGGAGTGGGTGACCACAGTGAGCGCACCCCATCCCGCCGTTCAGGCAGTCAGAGTCAGCGACGCACTCCGTCCATTTCTATTACCAAAAGTTACCAGGTTGGTGATTCCGACGTGCATGCAGAGAAGTCTAGCGCGCAAGATAGCACTTACCGGCCCTCACGTCCGGTAACGACGTCAAGGTACTCTTACTCCGCTCATTCAGAGGATTTGCAGGTGGTCCTAAAGGAGCGGGCTCGCCGGCGGGAAGCTCAGAGGATACCGGCGTTCCAGCGGTTATACTACGGGGTTCACGCCAGCGAGGAGGTCGGAATGCCTCCACCCCGCCAAGCAGCGCCACTCCTAGTGGATTCAGATTTGGCAAGGTTAAGTGCCACCCCTTTCTCCTTGAAAATAGAAACAACATCGCTTCCGGCAGGCTTCCACTAGCCAAAGTTCACGCTTTACGACGAGAAAATCGATTCCTACATGCATATAAGTCATTTTCGACAGGTCATGGCCGGACATAGGCGGAATGATGCTCTTATGTGCCTCATCTTTTCGTCAAGTTTGGGCGAATTGGGCTTGAAGTGGTTTGAAAGGCTGCCGGAGGGGAGTATTGAGAGGTGGCATCAGCTGGCCGAAGCCTTTGTGACGCGCTTCAAAACCAACAGAAAAACACCAAAGGAAGTCGATCACTTACTGAGTGTCAAGATGGAACCGAACGACACACTGAAGGCATATAACTCCAGGTATTGGGAGACCTTCAACGAGATCTTGGATTGCCCGATCAACCTTGCAATCATGCAATACAAGCGTGGTCTCCCGGTCGGACATAGATTGCGGGACTTGCTTACCATGCACCAGCCGACGTCCATGGGCCAACTCATGCAACGCATCAATGAGCATATTCGAGTTGAGAATGATGCGTCGGCGTCTACCGCGAAGTCAGTTCCGGCAGTGACAGACAAGAAGGCTGGAAAAGTGCATACAGTCGGACAGGAGTCCGGCCGATCTACTAACTGCGCTGAGGAATCGGATCGTGGATCGAGTCGGAAAAACCAAGGTAGAGGACGTCAGAATGACCGAGATGACTACCCACGGGATGACGCAGCCGATGCAAACAGGAGATTGAAAGCAAGGACCGGCATCACCACAGTCTTTAAGATTCCAATTTATCGCATACTTAGCGAAATCCGTGACGAGGAGTATGTCCGGTTTCCCGCTAAGTTGGGCGATGGACAGAAGGGCTTCAATCCGAAATACCGTTGTACATTTCACCGGGAGCGAGGCCACCGAACAGAGGACTGTTTGCCTCTAAGGCAACACTTGGAAGAGCTAGTCGCAGCCAGGCACCTGGATCTTTACATTGATGGGGGCGTTAAGGCAAATCAGGTTCCGGTTGATCCGCGGGGACCGGATGACCGAGATGCACCTCCTCAAGGGGTTATGAATGTCATCCACGGCATAGTGGTACCGGCGCGTGTTTGTGAGCTCTGTGGTATGATCAAGAAGGCAGAGCACATAAGGGAAGTTTTGTCAGTTCAGCCTGCGCTCAAGAGGGGGAAGACGGAAGCGAAAGATGTGATCAGTTTCTCCTCAAGGGACTTGGAGTGCATTCAGACACCGCACAATGACGCCTTAGTAGTTACACTCCGCGTCAAAGATTTTGAAGTCAAACGGATCTTGATCGATCAGGGAAGCTCGGTCGAAATCATGTACTACGACGCTTTCAAACAGCTCAAGCTCGGAGATACGGATTTGGCCCCGGCGACATCGCCATTAGTTGGTTTCAACTCACAACCGAAGTGGCCTTTGGGAAAGATTATCCTGCCGGTCAAAGCGG